AATTATAGAGCCTGGGTTCCCATAAAATACGTGTGAGTTCAATGAATGCTACTACTGTTAATTCTCAGAAAACCTAGAACTTTCTCTCTCTCTCTCTCTCTCTCTCTCTCTCTGTCTCTGTCTCTTTAATTTGATTAGAGTCAAGAAAAAGTACTTCTTTCCTGAATGTATTCTGACAGTTTGAAGATCAGATTTTCCTGAATGAAATGGCCTAGCTCTTATCCAGGAAACAATTGGTGCTGATATTCTAAATTTTCCTGATAGTAAGATTTATACAAGTATATAACCCCTCAAAAGGTATATCAGCAAATCCTTTGGATGGATAGTACATATCATGAAATAAAAGAGTGGTCCAGAATCATTATAAAATACAAGAGTGCATTTTGTTACACACTTTGCATTTGATACTGGAATTGCCTTCCAGCACAACTTTCTTACTTATGAAACATATACTTGCATCTAAAGGGAGAAAGAAAAAACTGTATGACCTTACCTCTATTGCATATATCTGAAACCTATTTCCCTAGGTATTAAACTGCAGGCAAATATTTTTACCTTATACTTTAAGCAAAAACCCAGATAGAAATTCTGAGATAAATATGGCCATGGATCTTAAGCCATGGGTCACTTTAAATCAGATTTTGGGATTTCTCTGATTTTCTGTAATAACTTATAGTACTTATAACCACCATATGTTCCTGTGATAGTCTTTCTATATGATACTCAGATCTGCACTTTCCACATTTCATCACCAGCATAACCAACAGGGATCCTAGTTATAGAAATCCAGGAATTGTTTCAATATATCTGGAGGGACTGGGTTGATGGCACTTACCCCCTTCGAGGTTAGCGAAAATGAACCCAAACTCTAGTCCAAAATGTTGGAAATGTAAAAACATAGAGGGAACCTACTTTCATATGTGGTGGACCTGTAAAGAAGCCCAGAAATACTGGCAAAAAATTAGAAAATGGCTGGAGGAGATAACCAAAGATCAAATTGAATATAAACCAGAGTTCTTCCTACTAGGGATTTCTGATAAACATTTTCCTAAAAAGACGAAATATATAATAATTCATATTCTAACTGCGGCCAGATTAGCATTTGCTCAGTGCTGGAAATCATCCCGTTTACCTACAGATCAATTGGTCATTCAGAAAATATGTGACTGCGCAGAAATGGACAATTTAACCATAGCTCTTAAAAATAAAGAGTCTTCAGCATTTGATAATAATTGGAATGCATGGTATAATTGGTTATATCAGAGATAAACTGTTCAATGAGCATAAATAAGCATAAATATCCATAAATAGCGATAAGATGTGTATATTTAAAGTAAGAGAAGAATTGGAGAATTGGATCTTGTAGACTGTCAAAAAGAATATTTGTCTGGTTTTAACGTATTTTCTTTTTTCTTCCATTTCTTTGTTTTTTTTTTGTTTTTTTTTTTCTTCTCTCTTTTATACTCCTTTTTCTCCTTTTTCGGTCGCAAGACCGAGCGTTTTTTTTTTTTTTCTTCCTCTCTCTTTCTCTTCTTTCTTTCTTCTTTTTCTCTCTCTGTTTCTTATGTAATGTTGTTATGTTATTTTTTTAATTGTAAATTCAATAAAATTTATATGCAAAAAAAAAAGAAAGTTGTTGTAATAAGATGTTGGAAATGTACATTCCTCCAGTTATTTATTACTTAAATATATAAACAATCTACAATCAACAGAATGTTTTTCAAACTCTGGATGGCACAGGATTATTAATACTGATGTTTACCATGCCATTATCATAGGACCATTATTCTGAGCCCGAATATCTAAAGTTTTGTACAAGAACATAAGAAAAGTTCTGTGGATCTGTCCAATAATCTAACCCAACTTTCTGTTCCTACATAGGACAATCAGATACTCAGTAAAAAGCCAAGCAGGACAGGAACATAGCAACATCTTTCTGCTTATGTCCACTAACAACTGGAATGTTACATTCAGAACTAGAGGCTGTAGGATCATTATGATTAACAATATTTAATATGATCTAATTTGGGTAATGAAAAATCTATAAGAAAACAACCAAGCTTAGAGAGCAGCAAGACCACTCATTGAATAACCTTATTCCCCCATGAGGCTTCTTTTAAAACCGCCTGACTTAGAGATCAGAGATATTTCCTTTTATCTGCCTCAAATCTCACTATTCAACTTAATGTCTGTGAGTAGTAGTATTATGTAATATTATAATGTTATACTAACGTTATGAGAGAGAAAAAAACATTGTCTTATCCATGTTTTAATATATGTCTTATACTACTTCTTATTCACTGATGGAAGGGAAGTAGCATTACAGTTAAGATGTTAGACTAGTACTGAGACAACAGGTATTTAAGTCCTTATTTGACCAAAGAGTTACCAGTAATTTGACTACTGAGTGATTTTCGGCCAGTCACTCTGTTATAGATCAACCATTTCAAAGCATTATTTTTATGGATATAAAATGAGATTATGAGATATATATGTAATACATAGATATGTAATAAATATTTTTGTTCTGTTTAAAAAGTGCCAAATATAACCATCCATTAATGGAAAGCCTTAATGATTTTGATAGCTCCTCTTTGTATTTTTATTATATACCAGCTGTATAATGTCCTATTTTGGGATGGTGAGCAGAAATGCAAGATTTGGAAGCACTATTATTGTGATAAAGTGTTCTGAGAATTAACTCATAATATTTCAGTAATTAACCTACTGGTCTTTTTCCTTACCACCCATTCTGTTTTTTTTTTCTTTGATATTCATTGCAGCAATCTTATGTGAACTTTTAGTTTAAATGTTTCTTAAGGTTCTACTGCAGATACTCTTCCCTTCCCCATTTTTTTCCAGTTTTAATGGATAGCTGATGACTTGAAAGCTAAGCAATTCAGACCAGGTTAGACTTGGATGGGAGATCGCCAGGAAATTCCATAGACCAGACTGGAAAATTTTAGAAAAAACCCTCACATTACAAAGCTCTTTTATATAGTTGCCAAGAAATTGCATGGATATGTCCATGAAGTCACATGAGGATTTGAGTTTCACCTTTTTTATTATGGGCACATTAACCGAGCATACAAATCTGTTTTTTTTTTAACTCTTCATTTATTTATTTTTTTAAATAAACTTTTGAATAGCTTGACATGCAACATTTGATGTGATCTGAGCAGACAGGGATAAAATGACAAGATGTCAACAACCATCAAAAAGACAGTTAAACAGGGTTATTGCTGTTTTAAGAGTTTGACAGGAAAGAGGCTTGCAATCCTTTGCAAAAGCCACTTTCCCTGTCCCCCAACCCTGTTTGCCCTATTGACTCAGAAGTGGTGACATTAAGTTAAAGATGTGCAGTGGACTCACTATTCCCTCAAAATATACACATGGGAGCACAAATGAAAGGCCCCTGAGCCAGCTATCAAAAGATAATAAAAGGGAATAACTGAAAATATGTTGATAGCAGCCTAATTTTTGTTTCACTTTGCAGAATCATTAGGCCCCGGCCTGTGCCCCAGATATGCAGTGGTTATGGTTGATTAGGACTTGCTAGAGAATTTACCCGTCAAATCCAACAGGTCTGTTCTGCAAACTGTAACTCTGCCCCTGCAAAAGCAAAACCACTATCTAGGTTCCCCTTTACAGAATGAAATGGGGCCACTTATATTCCTGAGGCCATGTTGCTGGCTTGTAGAGGAGTTATGGTCCCCACTGATAAAATCCTCACCCATTGGAACCTTCTGTTCCCACTGAGGAAACAATAACTGCTCAGGATAGGCAGTTAGAAATGTTATTCCTAACATTGTATCAACTGAAGGAAATTACTAGCAGGATCTCCTTTCTGTAGAAGACTTCCCAAGGCCATTTCTGAAGTGCCATAGTGACCAAAGAAAAATGGGAAATTTAAGTCCATAAGGGCTGAGGCTCAAGCATCATGGGAAACTCCTAAAGGTGAAGCTAGCTGCCAATATTTTATATTCTTTGGGGATTATCCCAAAGGATAAGAACTAGATGTTAAAACTCTAGGCCTTATCTGAAAGTCAGCTAATACATACACTATAACAGTTCTAGCCTACCTACTTGGAGGTATTCAACTTCTATTCTTACAGTAAGACCTAAAGATATTGGGTTGGGTGGTGTTCTACTGCAGGTCAAGGGTCATTACGACATGTGAGAAATACCTTATGCCCTTTCTCTTCGGTAAGAATTGTTTGCACATTAGGGGTGCTTCTACATCTAGGTTCTTCCCTGGCAGCCCATCCCTTAAGGCAACTGAGGCAGGAAAGGAGAGGCACAAGTCCTTCTGGAGTAAAGAGCAGGGATCCAAAGAGATAAGGGAATACATTATTCTCTAGTTAAGTAAGACAGAGAAACAGTGAGAGTGAAGCAGCAGCTGATAAATATACAGCACACGGAGAGAGCAGGACACAAGGACAGGGCCAATTGTAGCAGAAGTCAAGGAAAGCCGGCTGCAGCATGCAGGTGTGAGGCTTCCATCCCATTTAGAAACTACAAGATGAGGAAAAGAGGGAAGAGGAAAAAGGGAAAAGTCAATAGAAATGATCTTAATATTCAAGCCCCTCTATTCAAGCTAAATACTGAGGAGGAAGCTTTCTGAATTTAGTTCACCAGTAGATCTTACAGAGATAAAATGAGTGTCGTTGAATCATTTAAGTCCACTGATTTAATGACAGGTAGCCAGAATACTTACTCCTGGAAGCTCACAAACAGGATTTCTGTAGTGAAGGATCAAGAACCTACTCTATAACCCTTTGTGCAGGGCAGAGTTTATTCTGTTTAAATTAAAAGATGTCTAGCAAATCTTGTGAGAAACATATTTACCCAGTTGGAAGAAGCTGAAGGGCAAATCTGATGGAGTCCTGGGAAGAGGAAATATTAAGAGATGCAATAAAAAGTTGGTGAGAGAGAGGGCATATGATGGACTATACCTGATGGTGTGTTTAGATGCTCTGGGCAGGTGGTGGTACTAGCTATTAGCTGGCTGCAGTCTCCTGATGAAAGGGAAAGAGCTTGGCTTGCTCATCAGCTGCAACACCACAAGGCAGGTCACTTCTAGCATGGAGGAAAAGGGAACACATAGTAACTCAAACCTTCCCTCCCTGTTAAATGCTTTCCCCATACTTTTGTATAAAAAAATGATTTATCCCTGGAACTAACCACTCTGAAGAAATGAGAAAACTGATTTGATCCAATGGCTAGGCAATTGTCTTTCATACAGCTCACCTGTTATCATTGATGTCTGTGGCATTTCCTGTGCACCCATCCAATGGAAGAACAGGGAAAGAAAGAAAAAAAGCATTACAATTCAGAGAAGGGCACATACTGAAGGGGCAAACAGTGTCGTGTGTGTGTGTGTGTGTGTGTGTGTGTGTGTGTGTGTGTGTATTTAGTTCTGCGTCGAAAGTGCTGCCTCACTGAAATGTAAAACATAAAACCTACCAGCACCTCATGCACAAGATAATCACAAAGGAGACTTATTCTGAAGTATTTTCTACTGAGCTACCCATCTCTCAGTTTATTTCCTTTGCTTTTCAGATTTTCTGTCCCATTTGTTTGTTTTGTAAGACAGAACCCATGCCCCGCATCCCTGTCTGTAAACCAATAAATAGTGGGCTGTGCGAACAGATTTTCATTATAAAGACTCTGCCTGCTCACCAAGTGGGTCCTTTAAACAGGGCCACAATGATCTCAAGCTACTGAAAGACCCAGTCTAGGCAAACAGAAAAGCAAGAGGTACCCTCCCTTCTCCCCAAGGGCATATTTGTTTTTCTTCCCAATATCCTACCATTATCCATATTGAGCTTCTGATAGGACGTCAGAGGGGCAGTAGAGGAGCTGCTTCCACTACTGGAAGGTGCATTTGTAAAGCTGCACAAATGGAAAAAGAAAGGGGATATATAAGCAGTCAATGGATGTTAATAGGTAATGCATAGTAAAAGGACCATAGGTGCCTAGCTATCTCAGTTCTATTCCACTTGGCTCAATGCTGAAGCTTAGAGCCGAGGGGAACTTCCAGGGATCATTCTGCTGTAATGGAACAGAACCCTAAAGCCAAATGTGAAGTTAAAAACTGGGGAGAGAAGATCTGTGTGTCAAAATGATTTTAAAAAGCCTTTTCAAGTAAGAATGTGTGGCAAATAGATGACTATTAAGATCTTGTATTCAAATTACTAAAAGCAATACTAGATTCAAGGGGAGGGTATTTAATCTGAAGAGGGCAAGTTTAGGAAATAGTCATCTCGTTAAATCCTCAATGTGGATGAACATGTACCTGATTCTCCAATTTAAAACTGATTTCCAAAAACATTTTATTAAGTTATAAAACATTATAAAATACAAAATACAAAAGCAAATAAGAGGACAATGAGGGGAAAGGAAAAAGAAAAGTGAGGAAGGATGGGGAAAGAAAAAGAAACATTGACTTCCGACTCTCTGTTACAGTAGAAAAGGGCATGATCAAAATATTACAACTTTTTGTTTTACCATAATAATATGAACCAGTTATTTCTGCAAAAGTCTATCAATCTAATCTACAAAACCCAAAGTCAAAATTTCATTCTTTTCCATATCAAGCGTGAAGTTCAGAAGGAGTTTCCATGTGGAGACAAAAATACTTATGCTCTTTTCTTTGAGCAGAGTAGTCAATTTTGCTATTTCAGCCAACTCCATCAGTTTCTGCAATCATTCTTTCTATAGTAGAAATCAAGGTGTCCCTGATTCTCCAACTTAAATCTTGTACCTTTGAATGACAGCCAAAGATAGCAGTCTCTTTTTTAAAGTTTTGTTATTAATGCCAGTTTTTTTTTCCTGTGTATTTGTGAAGATTGCAATGATCTGGTAAGTAATTTTATATTCCAGCTCAAGACTTGTTGTAATTCATTCTTCTGGCATGACTTCTCCACATTATAATATATAGTGGATCTTGCACATTCAAATTATTTTAGAATTCCAAGGTCCAGACCCCTCAAAATTTGCAGTTAGCCTAGGCCTACTCTTTGCAACCAACCAATACCTAAGACAGGACATGATTTAGATCAGATTTTATGTAAATCAAATGCAATGATGGCATATTCAAGTCTGATTTATGGAGCAAAATGTTCTTCAGGTTGCCTCCTGAAAAACTGATAGATTCATCTAGGAAGCTTGCTTAAGCCAACCACAGTTTAAGTCAATCATAGTTTGCACAATTTAACAGAAATAGAAATAAAATATACTCACTAGCTGTCAGGCACAGTGCCGCCAGAATTTAGGTAGGCATTTTGATAATTCTGGAAGAGGCTATTGGTGTAGCTGATGCAATCAGAATTGCGAACACCGTAAGGATTGGTTGGGGAGGAAGCTGGATAGTGCCCTGGTCGCACTGGTTTTGCTACAAGAGGATAAAAATGTCGTAGATAAACCATACAGTATTTTCTTGGAAGAATAAAGGACAAACTGAACAAGGGAAAAATCTGAAAGATAAGGATTACAATATTGTTTGTTTATAACTTTTCTTTACAAAGGAAAACTCAAGAGCAAAAGATTTATTTTATATTTATTTATTTTTCTGAAATAAAGTATCCATTATAATAAAGGATGTATGGTGACTTTGTGTGTGTGTGTACATGGACATACACACACACACACACACACACACACACCATTCATTCATTCACTCACTCATTCATTCATTCTTTCATTCATTCATTGATGGAGCTAGGATTTTCAGGATCTGAGTTCTGTTTCTTCACCCCATTAGAAAAGTTTAACTCTCCTCCATGCATGGAAGGATGCTACTGAAGTGGGCTGCAGGAAAGGAGCTGGGATTTCTGGAATCTGATATCCATTTCTCCTCCCCTTGGAAGGTAGGCCTTTTGCTCTCAAAGGCCTGCCTGCAGGTTGTGTATGTGTGTGGGCGGGGAGGGGCAGGGGGAGATGGTGGGGGAACAGAATCAGCTCCATGCAAAGTTGAGATTCCCAGCTGGCTGGCAGCCCTTTTGCTCTCAAAGAGCTTTCAGCCCAGCAGGAATCTCAAATCTGTGGTAGGTGACAGCAGACTCCTGTCCTCACTGTGAATTGTTGGGGCGAGGGTGGTGGTGGTACACGAAGGGAGTTTCAGCCAATCTCATTGTACACATGTTGTACTCTTGACAATAAAGGTAATACTAGCCTGCAATCTTCCCTGCAGCTTCTCTACAGATTTTCTGGGAAAGCTGGCAGAGAAGACTGCAGATTGTGATCACGTGGTCATGGGGCACTTGGCAACTAGTTGTAAGTGCAAACAAGTTCCCAAGCACCCAGCTCACATGATCATGGGGTATGTATGTGTGATGTTTCACAACATCCAGTTTATGAACTGTGAAGAATTCTCGAGACTATCGTACCTTCAAATGGTCATTAAAGGAACAGTTGTAAGTTGACTACTTGTAAAATCTTAAGGATCATATGCCTATAGCAGAAACTGCCGTGGAAAATGATAGATTGCTTTAAGAAATTTCAGATTGATGCAGCAGTGACACTCCCATCTTCCAAACTACCTTTTCCGAATAGAATCGAAAGTACTGCACAGCATTACCAAATACTACATTATGATTTCCTGGAATATACACCTTCAGCCAAGTAGAAAAGATATTTGTTCCTTCCTAGAACACATATCAATAATATACCTATTACACTGAAATGTCTCCATGCTCACAGGAACGGACCCCCAAACTGCAGAATTTGTTTGCTTACCAATCTGTGCAGAGTGGTTGCGCTTCATGCTGTTTTTGAAGCGCACTGCTTCCTTGATGCGGTCTACCTCCTGTTGGTAGCGCCGCTTGTCTTTCATTGCCCCTTCCTTGGCTTCCTTCAGTGCACCCTCCAGGGCCTTAACTCTCTCAGCCGTAGCCCGAAGACGTTTCTCCAGTTTAGGAAGCTCACAACGCAGATCTGCATTGTCACGAACCAGCTGGGCCCCAAGTTGACAAGAAAGGGAAAGAAGAGTAATGGAGGTGAAGTGGATGTAGGTAGGCACGCCATTCCCCAAGACCTGAAACCTTTGCTTGTGCTTCCAATCCCAAGATGGTTCTGCTCTGCTTTCTTACATTCTGCCCTTTCCAGAAAAACACACAGTTTGTGCTAATTCTACCCAATTTGATCCACCTGGAAATCTCACACCTCAGAAGCGTGATTTTTTTTTTTTCTAGAGGGGAACTACTACATTGCTTCTTATCCCCTTGTATCATAGATTTTGTTGGAATGTCTGAATATACCCCTCAGGGCAAAATACGAAGGGCATATTCAATGCCAACATCTCAATTTGCGAGAACAAGCTTTATGTTTACTCTTGCCCTACTTCTGAACACCATGATGGAAAAATCCTATGGAGCTGGCCCTGAGGAATGTCAGAGTGAAAAGTAGCAGAGCTTGGAGTCCTTTCAAAAATCACTCAAAAAAATCTCTCTGTTGTACATCTATTAAAAGCAACCTATAGTTGACACAGATGCTGGTGATAAGTCACTGCCCTCTATAAGTGACACCCATCCCTTGTTCCCATTAAGCAGGCCCCAAGTGCTACAGATCCAAGCCATGCACCATGCTGGGGTGGGAACATTTTATGAAATGCAAGGTCGCGAGATAACAGCTGAAGAGTCACAATGATCCATTTAACTCTCACCATATGTAAGCTTGAATTAAACACCAGGTGGGTAAGCAACATGAGGTGACAGCTTAATGGTGTGAGATGAACAATTACTCAAGAGGCAGCCAGCAGCACAATAGTAATTGGCAGGAAAACTACTGGGCAGCCCAGCCTCCAAGGGGAGGGAGAGAAAATGTTTGAGATAATAATATTTAGTTCCCATATCCGGAGATCGATATCAAACCAGAATGGGGGTGAAGCATATAGTGAGAATTTATGAACCATGTTTTTTCCAGATAACTGTAGGGCAATCTTCTGTAATCTGATGTCAGCAAGATGTGATTGGACTACAATTTCCATCAATTTTAGTTGTTACTAAGGAGGCTCTATGGCCTCAAACTGGGAAATTATCTGGAATTCATTGTAAATATTTTAATGTTTATCTGAATCTACTTAATGTTGTAGTGGAAGAAAGAGCATTGCTGTTGAAATTTTAGTGTGGTGAAACAGCTAAGCCTTACCTTTTTTTTCTCTTTTTGTGACAGATGCTGTGTAGGACAATTTGGTCAGGATTGCCATGGCAAGAGAATGGATAGTAGAAACCACACACATGAAGCTGCTGAGAATGAGGCCTTTGTACACATATGAAGGCCACAATGGTAGTGGTTGCCATGGCAGCAAATTATGACCTAATGCAAAAGGGTCATTAGGGGGATGGAGTTGCCATGACAGTGGAATGGTGAGAGGCACCTGACCTTTCCACCCAATCAATGTCCTCCCCCGCACCCCCAAATAAATATCTGTACTCCCAATTTGGTCACCAAGTGCAAACATTTCCTGCCCAGCCCAACAGGCAGAGGAAGACGTGAGAGTGGCTGTACGGTACCTTGGAGACCCAGCGATCCAGCTAGGGTACAGCAGCAATGGGAAAAGGGGGATACAGACATGACTCAGCACACCAGCGGAGTCCCCAATTAAACCCTGCTCTGGAAACCCAGAGAGAAAGAAGTTACACCTCAGCAATGTCTGTTGCCTCTGACTGCTGGTATCAGAGTAATACCTTCCTTTCCTGAGCTGAAAATAGGGGAAATTCTCTCTTTGGGGCATGAGATGTGGCAGAAGCATCTTTCTACCATCTTACTCAGCTAAAGTAAGCAGGGACAATTGGAGGAGGAGGGAGAACAGAACAAGTGTAATGGAAATCATATGTGATGGATATGAGAAGCAATGCAGGGAATGGATATAAGCAAATATCTACCAATATTCTAAGTACACACCATCCCTTGCTACTTTGCCACCTTGTCGAATTTCCTCACTTTCAGTAAATATATGATTTTATGAGGGAATGAATAGCCTTAGCCTGAAATGCAAATCCACCTCACTTCTTTCTTTCTACTTCCTGCTATTTTCATTCCATTCATTGCTTGAAACTTTCCAGGACCTGCTGCAAAATCTCACCAAATTGGACTTGGAAACAAGTGTGAGGTTTTCAATTAAAGCTACCAACGGTTTCATAGCAAGTACTGTTGGGAAGGAAAAAGGAACCAGAAGGGAGAGGTACTGAAGTACCAATACAATTGGAAGCAGAATTCAAAAGCCAGGATAAGAGAGCTGGGTAATTCCTGCTTGAGCCAGATGGTAAGGAGTGTTTTCTGTATTGTACTAGAAGGCACAATTCCCGAGGGACAAAAATGGTAATTTATCATGAACAAAGCTAAGCACGGAAGAGCCATTCTTTAATCTGCTACTGTGGAGTACACATTAAATGTGGATGCACCTTTTACTTTGCATGCAGAAAATCCAAACTGAGTCCCTGGTATCTCAGTAAACAAGGTCTAAGGAGATTTTTTAAAATGTATTTATTTTGTCGAGCGATTATAAGATAACAGGTATAAGTATAAACATAGTTATGAATACATGAAATGGATACATATAAGAAAAATAAAAGAAACAATAGGGCAGGGACAATAGGCACATTGGTGCGCTTATGCATGCCCCCTACAGATCTCTTAGGAAAGGGGCGAGGTCAATAGTAGACAATCTAAGGTTAAAGTTTTGAGGGTTTGGGGAAGAAACTACAGAGTCAGGTAGAGTATTCCAGACATTGACATTCTCAGTCATCCAGGCCATGGTTGTCCCAAAAGCGCTTTTTTCAAGAGGCAACTGGACCTTCTGGTAAGTTTCAGAAACTCCAGTTGCCTCTGGAAAAAAGTACCTTTAAGGCTCAGTAAACAAGGTGGCAGATGATGATGAGAGCTCCAAGTCTGAAGCAGACAAAAAGGAAAGTAGTTATCAGGAGGCTATAAAACCTAGAGACCTGAGCTCTGCTAGGGCAGAACCCGAACTGGATCCCATTTCTCCAACTTCTTCAAATCCTAAAGAAGATTCACTGACTCCCGCAATATGTCCATGCCACAGTTATGAAAGAACAAAGAACTAAGCAAGAGTACAAGATTCTGAGGCCAGGCTTCTTAGATGTAATATGCATTGATGAATCTAGTAACTGTAGAAAGACCCACTGAAACATCTTCAGACATCTGCCTTGTTGTTGCATTATGCCCCAAAATCTCAGTGCTTTGATTATATGGGCCTTACATTATAACTGTCTCGCTCTGATATGATCTGTACATCTTGTTTTTTATTTATGACCGGCTTTGGATCACTCTACTGTCTGCTGCCAACTCTGGCGTCTGTATTTGTCAATTCAATGGATCAATGATTGGATTTACAAACTTGGCAAACTTCATGAGCTCATTCTCCAGCTGCATATTCCTCAGGTTTTCTGCCTCCATTTAAATAAATATTTCTCAAGTGTTTCATCACTCACAACTCTTCAGTTTGAAAAAAAAGGACACATAATTATTTATGAATGGTTCCTTCACTCTGTTTGGAATCTTCCTTGTTGCTACAACAAATGTCTAGATAGCTTTTCTTATCATTTTTACTTTATTAATTTGAAATTATCACAGGATGCAAATCATGCCAAGAAACGTCTATCTCAAAAAAGCCAATGTTTTTCAAGGAGTTATTTCTTGAAAATTGTAAGGAAAAGGCAAACAATAAGCCCTAACTATCAAAAATATCATTGTAGGGGAGAGTATCTATCATTTCAGAAGGGAAATAGCAGAGTGCCCTATGGATCTTACAGTTTTTGGCTGGGTTCACACAATGCACTGATACAGAACCACAAATCAGCCTACTGTCTCGTGTGAAATTGGCCTGGGCAATTTATTTAGAGTCCAATGTGTCACACAAATCCAGAAAAGTGGATTAAAATAATCTGAAGAAATTTGGTTCAGAGCTCCTTGTAGCAGATCTATGTTGACTTGGTGGTAAAGACAACCTTGACCTCAATCTGTATATTGTCTTCCAGTGGCATGTTTCAAGTATCAATTCTGTATTCACTCCTTTTCTCTATGTATGCAAGATCCCATCTGTATCACCCTAAATCTATGGAGGGAAAGATAGAATGACACAACCCTAATTATTTGGACTTCAACTCTCATTACTCTTTGCTAGAATGGCTAATCACAAAAGATTGTTTAAATTAAGTAACATTTTTAATGTTTAAGTTAATATTGGTCAGCTTCAAGGTAGACCATGTCAGGAAACAGACTTTATAAGAATTAATGGAACTCTATGTCCTTGTTATAAGATATAATAATAGAATCTTGAAAGAGTGACAGAGTTTCTCTCTCCCTCTTATACCAAAGTGAATCAAGGCAGGGGAGTCTTGAGCTTCTTCCGCACTCCACTCCATTCCACTCCATCTTCCCAAGCTAATCTAATCTTTTTGTAATGGCTGTTGCATATCTTCTTCAAGACCATCTCCATACTCCACTATGCTATATTTGGTCTCTCTATGTTTAAACTTCTAACTAATTTACAGATGGTGCTATGTATACCTCCAGAGACATTAGTGACTGAAGTGTTAATATAGGCCAAGCAACTGAGCAAATAGTTAAGTCACATTGTAAAACTTCCAGAGGGCCCTAATTTGCCTATCCATCACTGAAATAAAATGTATGAAGCTATAAGCAAAGAGCCAATGAATATACACAAACCATGTACGTGCATTTCACTGAGTTAGATAATGTATTAGGTTTTTCTTCCTAACTCTTTTCCTCTGCTGCCTTATTTATATGCCTAATAATATTTCCTTCTAATGCTTACATGAAGACACAGCAAGAAGCACACCATGCAGTAATTTGTGGAAACCCTTACTGAATTCTCTACATATCCTTTTCTCACAAGATCTTATTTTGACACATAGGTTTCTATTTTTTTACAATGTTATATTTCTTCTTTCTATACATAAGCATAATTTATCTAGACATAAACATGCTATAATAATCCCTGTGAATTGCCACACACTCAGAAATACACCCTCATGAGTGTGTGTGATAAAAGAAATGAACACACAACTCTTCTCTCTTAAACTACCAAACCATCCTTTGACTGATCCACAGGATTGGCTTGCCAAATAATCAAGGATACTGATACAGTATGAAGGGCAAATTATTATGGATTAGCAGAAAACAAGAGTCAGCTCGGTACAAGCCAAGACTTCGTGATGAGTTTTGGGATCAATGGGCTCTCAATCTGGTGTTAGAAAAAGTTGTTCTATTTTGATGGGAAAGTAGGAAGAAGAAACCTGTTGCCTTCTAAATTTGGTGAACTCTATTTTCTAACCAGCCTTGCAGCCTGATTAAAACTGACCACGTTTTTATCCAGTTTGGTGCAATAGTTAAGAAACCAGGAGACTGAGTTCTAGTCCTGCCTTAGATATGAAAAGCTGGTTAGGTGACTTTGCATTAATCACTCTTTTCTCAGTCCAACCTATTTCACAGGCTTGTTGTGGGGAAACAAGGACAAAATAAGGACTATTAGGTATGTTCACCACCTTGAATTGTTTCTAAAAATAGTAAGGGCGGGAAATAAATAAATTTCAGGAGTTTATCATTAAGCAATATCTATCAGGCTTGCCAATTCCCCACCAGACTTAATATTGAATGGGAACAGATATGTGCAGGAATTTTATTATAGAAAGAGTCAAAGAATAGGTCTGGCAATATATTGATCCTGCATTATGTGAACTCCAAAACAAGCAAGTAACACGTCCATGCACAGATTTGTGCCAGATGAGTCCTAGGTGAATGAAAAACATTGAGCATCCAGATGGCCTTATGAACACACAATGCTGCTACAATACATAGTGACTGCAAAATGGAGACAGAGAAAAAGATTCCCATCCTAACTACTGTATGAGGAACGAAAACAGCACTGAATCTGTCCTTCTCTCCATCTGCTCCATCCCTCTTTGTGGTTCTCACTCAGCGACTCACCTGTTTGTGAACTTTTGTAAGCTGTTCCAGGTTGTTCTCAAGAAAGGAAATCTTCTGTTTCTGGGAATGAGCCCCCCCACTGTCCTCGGGTTCCAACTCCGCACTCTGGAAAGAAGGAGCAAGAAGATATTTATCTCTGCAGCAGTGAAGGAGATGGGAACAGGGAAAGATCCTGTGAGGTAGTACAGCAATGACACCAGCAGTGCAAAGCCCAAATAAAACTATTTGGATTGGTCCACGCTAAAATTTATTCTTTAGTTACCTCCACAAAGAACTGTAATTCCAAGTGCAAAATGTGCATCATATAAGATAACCAATGGCAAGAATCAGTTCCAGAATTGGGAATGACTGTGAATTTAATGTAACCTCACTGGGAAACGTTCAACAGAACCATTTTCTGCCTTAATTTGAGCAAAGATTCAAAACTGCTGGGTGGGGAAATGAGAAGAAAGTGGATTTTCTTCACAATGGAAAGAACACATCTAACTTGCACAAAGGGCTTCCTAAGACTGGGTTGAGGCTCCAAACCTATAACACTAAGATTACTTCATTTTACAGTTATTAGTGGGTCAGAGGAATTACAGGGAGTCTAGCTAGTTTGGAATAATAGCTAAGAGAGATGGCACATCAACATAGATTTGCTTTCACATCAAATCCCATCCTTGCAATGACTTCAGGTGGTGGCTTTAGGCAAATACAATATCTCACACCTTACCTTCTTACTGTAACCTGCAATTTGGGGACAGAATTGCTAGTCTCCACTTTAAGAGGTTTTTATAAAGCTACTTTTCAAAGATAAAGCATTTCAAAGATTCACAAATTTTCAATGAGTTTCAAGAGCTACCTACTTTCTTAACTCGAGTCGTGACGTCTTGAACGAACAGCTTGCGAAGGTTGTGGAGGGTCTGGAGTTCACGGGCCTAGAAAGGGCACACACATAGAAAGGCAAGCTGAGATGTTTTAGCCTCCCTGTTCTCTTCCACTGGTTCTATTCACAAAACTCATATAACTGGGTCACAGAAGGGGAGCATATTATGTAACCCCTTTAAGCTACGTTAGTCACTTGCTTAACCAAATCTGGTCAGATTTAGCCCCAATCAGAAAAACTGCTGTTCTCTGTGGATAAAATCAGCTAATGTGCAAATTACTTATGAGGTAATTAGTTGTTTTACAACATACACTCTAGGTAATTCTAGAGAGACTCTGAAAATGTCTGTCTATGTGCCTTAGCAGTTTTATCTCCCTTCAAACATAGCCCCACAAGGAGGACAAAAGACGGCAGAAACAGATTAGTAGTGAGTAAGCTCTCCCTCCAAATCTTTCTTCGGTAGTGTGAATCACAATCACTTCACTATAGATTAAAAAAAAAAAAACTTCACCATGGAGGGGAATGGAATACAAAAGGCCACAAGATGGGGGGAAAGGGACAATCTTTCAGGTTTCTTTACAACAGCTGGGAACCCTAAAAAGTGGCCATCATATAACAGAGTCCTCCTTGTACCGGATGCTGCCACCGCCACAGACTTGAGCCTATTCACTAGGAATGAAAGAATACTGCCTTTTGGGATGCTTACAACGGTTTCCTCCAGCCCCTTGAGGTCTTGCTTGGACTGCTCGTGGCGCTCGTAGAGAAATCTGTGAAGCAGAAAAAGCATGTGAGGCAAAGACTTCATGGGAAAAGTGTTCTCAGAAGAATTTAATTGTCCTCACTGAAGCATAACTCTGATAGCACAGCCAGGGGCTGTCCATTACCTTAAGTTTTAGAATCCTGCATATGGTCAAGATTACAAGCAGTGATAGATACGCAGGATGAGCAGGCTTCAAAGGAATGTTCCCCACCCCCACCCGAAAGTGAGCCTTTTCTGAAGTAGCGTCTGCCTGATGTAGAGCACCAGGCTTGAAATTTGGGACCTAGGCCACTTAGAGCTACGCCGCCTACAGTCTGACCTAAGCTTAGTACACCAAATTGTCTGCTACAACGTCCTACCTGTCAATGAATACTTCAACTTCAACCACAATAACACACAGGCAAACAATAGATACAAACTCAAAGGAAACCGCTCCAAAATCGATTGCAGAAAATACAACTTGAGCAACCGAGTGGTCAATACCTGGAACTCACTACCTGACTCTATTGTTTATATCCTCAACCCCCCAAAACGTTAACCTTAAACAGTCTACCTCACTCCATTCCTAAGAGGTCTGTAAGGGGGTATGCCTAAGCGCACCAGCATGCCTACTGTCCCTGTTCCCATTTATTCATACTCATTTATTGTGTATATACTTATACCTGTTTATACTTATATGTTTATATATTATGTTCATACTTATACTTGTTTTCTCACACATGCTTGACAAACCAAATAAAAAGAATGTTCGCAAACTTGCAGGTCTTTTGCGCCCACACCCCTTGGGTGTGGGAGCCTGGAAGTGTGAAGGGACCCATCTCCTAGCTGTGTTAGTGACTGTCAACTGCGATACTTCCTGGGCTACTATGTATTTTCATTCTTGTACTTGTTTCTATTTTTATTTTGACATTGTTTGCCACCCAGTCACTTATTGAGATGGATGGCTATACAAATTATGATTTAAAAAAAATATATATTGCTAAATTAATTTTCATGTTCTGAGCTTTTACAATTTTTACCAGGCTAATAGCCTCATTGCTCTTTTGAGTGGTATGCCTACATATTCCAAACTATAGATGCATACAGAAGACGATCGAACTAGGACAAAAACTTGACTTGATACAATCACTCCCCGGATGCCTAATCATCCTGTCTTCTGCCCTTTGAGAAATTGTCACAATTAGTGGCAATTTTTGGAGGCTCTATCAGCTCCATTCCAGGCTTACCACAAGGCCATGGGGCCTTAGATTGTACATGCCTGTTTTATAAAATCTTAGGACACCGTTTTTTTCATTGAATGAGGGAAATGTGGATAGTGAGTAGCTGAATTCAACTGTATATATGTGAGAGTAGGCAGATTTGGTGGCAGAGGAAAACCAAGTACTGTAACTGAGGAGGAATGGTTCACCGATCCCTTCCAGATAACTTCACTGCAGATGAATATAAATAATCTCTTAGAGTTGGGGATTGAGCACCATTTGTTTTGACCGAAGCTGTAAAATGTTCTAGAACTATTCTATGTAGGAAAAGAAGAAGCCCCATAGGGGTCACCAAATATGTATAAATTATTAAATGTGTCCCTTTCCCAATTGAATTATAGTTCCTTCCCCCACTTATTACATGGGTTTAATGTATATCAGCGTTTTTCAACTGATGCCTGGTAGCATCAAACCCCAGAATTCATCAGGACCAAATACCTTTTCGTTTTAGAGGATGGGACTTATTCTTAAACACAGGAATGAAGAAAGACAGCTGAAAATGTTTAGGGAAAGGAAGAGTTCTTACGTCAGCTCCTGAAGTTTTTGTGTTTTCTCTTGCTCCTCATTCTTGAGTTTCTCATAGTCAGCACGAAGTTTCTCCAGTTCAAGTTCTAACTTCTGGTTTAAGCTGGACAGGAAAGAATGTATGGAGAAATATGCTATTGTTGGGATGGTAAGCAGATCTTAGTTATTCAGCAGCCTTTCAATTTAGCATAAGGCTAAATTGGCTAAGGACTCAATGCTAAAGGCTCAAGACGTGGAAACTAAAATCTACAACCCCTGATGCTTAAAGGACTGCATTTCAGGACAATGTATAAAAGAGGATATTTGAGTCAACCATCTTTTTAGCCTTTTCCATCGTAACCAGCTGCTAATTTTGAATATACCTACAGGTTTAGCATTGCTATAAATTGTTTTTTAACTCCAGCAATCCAGCCTAAGGGTTTTTTATTAAGACTAGTTCTATTGAATGAACTTCAGTTCTCAGGAAGGAATTACTAGCCTTAAATTAGTTTCAGTTCATACTGTCTCAGGGGTCTTAATTATCAGTCTATAAATCCTATTCATTATACACAAATTAAAGAATACCAGAATTTATGTCACACAAGGCATGAATTTATGTCACACAAGGCATATGGGTATACAGTAGTGCAACAACCCTAGCTACACTGCATTCCCACTACTCTAGAATTAATTAACATGAGATTTCTCCTATTTGGTTCCTCCAGACTTATTAAGAAAGACTATAAATCAAATTGTTAGTAAGCATGCTGATTAAGAATTGTGGTAGTCCTAACAGCTGGAGTGTGCGAGGTTGGTGTTGATTTACCCTTACCCCTACTTCCATCTTTGCTCCTAATTTCTATTCTGTACATGCTCATAAATGGTTGTCGCTTATTTTATTCTTTTCACACATTAGCCCTGCCTTGTAAACCTTATCCAATTTTCTGCTGATATCCGCCATCAGTCTCTTGAAACTGATTAAGTCAGGCCCTGCCAATAATAATAATAATAATAACCCAGCTTCTCATCTCCAACATAACCTATCTTATAATAAGAATCTCTCTCTTTCCCATCAGAACAACTTGCCCCAGCCTAAAAATGACTCACTCTTTAAGCTCATCAATGATTTTCTGCTTCTGGTTGATCTCATCACGTAGACGTGCCAACTGCTTGTGGTGAGCTTCACGGTGACTCTCCAGCTGCACTTCCAAGGCCTTCTGTAGGAAAGGAAAGCAGTTCAGAAGTGTAGATGGCAGTGCCAGGACCCCTCTTAAAACAGCAAATCTTGGACATGCTTCAAAAATGTATTATTCTCCAGCAAAGCTATACTCTCTTGGCCCATCGTATGCTTGTCCTCTTGTTTCTTGTCCCATCCTGGCTCATGGAGATCACCGATGCCCGATTGAGTCTTATATCTTTTACTACAAAGTCTTTTTAGCAGAACTCTAATGGCAAAAAAGGTTGGACAAACAATTGTAGTCCCTCATGATTTACCCAGACCACAAAACTCAACCAGCTTAAATCAGAGGCGAGAGAGTATTCAAATCATAAATAAGGTACCAGAGGGTCAGTCAGTTGTGGTTTCATAGTCCAGATTTACTACTTGAGAAGGCAAGCTAAAGAGTTGGGGAACAAGGTGGAGAGCTGTTGCCAATTGATGGACGAGGCCCTCCTTATATAGGGGCAGTGTGATCTGGATTTGTTCCTGGGGAGGGGGCAGCATGTGTGGGTCTGTGTTTGTGTCTCTATTTCCAGCCAATTGTCTTGCTGAGCTTCTTTGCTCAGTCCCCCTCTTTTCCCAGTAGACCCTTGCACTGGGGAGGAGGTGGTGTTCGCTCAGCCTCTTCATCTTGTAAAGCCTCTGACAGCTGCCTCTTCAGGTTGCTAGGCAACACTGCTTTCCCTGCCTGCAACTCTTCCAGTGAATTTCCTCAGGCTGATGACTCTCCTGTAACTGCTTTTCATCTTCTGAATCTGAGTTGGCCATGCGTGACAGTTCTCCTTTTAGAGCCCGAAATATGCTTGTCTGGCCCTCTGTCTCCCTATCTTTCTTTTATTTCCTCCAGCTCTACCCCTCTTTTTAATTAATGCTAATAATTTAATTAATTATTAATTAAATATTAAAACAGAGCTTTGTGTTTCAAAGTGATCTATAATTAGATTTCTCATTATTTTCAAATGCATTTAGAAGCAATTGTGAAAAGCTGGAAAATGGATTAGAACAGTGGCATTGGAGAAAGATGCATAATACATGAACTAGTGTTTGAAAAAATGGAAATAGGAGAAAAGTTAAGCCCTCTCCTCTGTGATTTAAAAACAAACAAAAATCCCACTTTGAGGTTAGCTTCCCATGACACCTGCTCCACAGTTTAGGCTGATCCATTATTACAGATATTACAATGACCAAAAGAATATTAAGATGCCTATCTGTAAACAGCCAAGTATGTGCTTCTGGTCATTCTGCTGGAGCTTGGTCTCCCAGATATGTATGTACAAATATTTAAAGATACATGCCAACCCTTTAATTTCTACAGGTCTGCTATAAGGAATATCCATGCACTGCCAGGGGCCAAAAGGATTGTGTAAGAGGGATAACACCTTTGATGAAAAAGGACATGCCTCATCTCTTGTACTAACTTTGACTTCATCTGTATCTTCTATTAGGTCCTGCTCCTTGGCTACATCATGCACAGTCTCTGTGGGAGAGAAGAAGGATCCTTAATGAGAGACTGGAGATAGAGTTAAAGCAGCGAGTTGATGACCAGTGTTAGATTAGTAATTTGCTTTCTTGATCTAGGAGACTAGGCTAAAACATCAATTGCTCCATTAATTTTCTATGATTTCTTGAGCAGATTATTCTCTCGATGTTATCTCTCAATCTCAAGGTTTAAGTGTAGAGTAAAAAGTTTCTTTTAAAAGACTTATTCTGTAAACCCTTCTCTATAAAATGGAAACAGTAATCTACTTCATACCATTATACATATAGGAAAGACTTTATGGAAAAATAAATGAACAAGCTACCTACAAATAATAAATAACAACAGGAAGGAGTTACCATGAATATTTACACATGGTCAAGGATATTTGTAAGCAAATACACAAGGACACAAATATTCTGCATTAAAATCTCTTCAACCACTCTGACCTACTCATTTCCTGAATTATTCACATACTTCTGTACCGATCCTAAACTATACCATAAGTCCAGTCCCGTACACATTACCTTGGGCCTGCAGTTTAGCCAACTCTTCACTCAAAGCATCATAGGATTCTTCCAAGTTCCGTTTCTTCAGCTCCACACTCTGCATGTACTCAGTAAGTGAACGGATCTTGGCTTCATGCTGAGAAGATAAGGAAATGTAAGCAAGTAAGAGATCCCTTTCACAAACAAAGTCCAGATTCCAGACTTCCCAATCTCATTTTCTATAAGGAAGAATTCAATTTTTTGCTTGTTCAAGCTTGGAAACCGTCCTCTCTCCTTAAATTCATCTTCAGAGTTGCAAAATAAAGAGGGGACCAAGCAATCCAAAAGCCCCTTCCATGCTGCATTTCAAGGGCACAGTACCCTTGAAGTTTACAATACAATTCTATGCAAGTATATCCAGAAGCTGCAATCAATAGGACCGCTTCTAAGAACACATGAATCATTAGATTAGACTAGGATTAATATTAATTAGATGGATCATTAATGATTATTTGAATCAGGACATGTTTTGGGAGCAAAAAATATCCAGCGTATGTGCTTGTGGGTGTAGATGTGTTGTGTGCTTTCCCCATTTCACATACACTCTCATAAAGTTCTTCATGGAGCTGTAGAATTAATGAACACTCACTAGCAGAATTTTTTAATTAAAAGAAAGGAATGTCTGTGTGATCCAGAACCAGAAAATAAAAAAGGGGGAAAGAATTTAACTTATCTTCAATCTGCTACTTCTCTGATCCCATTTTAAAAATTGGTATCGAGAATTATGACATGCAACAGCATGAAATCTGGCCCCAGAGATACATCTCAAAATATTAAATATTAAAACGGAGCTTTGTGTTTCAAAGTGATCTATAATTAGATTCCTCGTTATTTTCAAATGCACTTAGAAGCAGTTGTGAAAAGCTGGAAAATGGATTAGAACAGTGGCATTTGAGAAAGATGGATAATATATGAACTAGTGTTTGAAAAAATGGAAATAGGAGAAAAGTTAAGCCCTCTCCTCTGTGATTTAAGAACAAACAAAAATCCCACTTTGAGGTTAGCTTCCCATGACACCTGCTCCACAGTTTGGGCTGATCCATTATTACAGATATTACAATGTCCAAAAGAATATTAAAATGCCTATCTGTAAACAGCTGAGTATGTGCTTCTGGTCATTCTGCTGGAGCTTGGTCTCCCAGATATGTATGTATAAATACTTAAAGATACATGCCAACCCTTTATGCAATGATAGCAATGGTATCTTCCTGTGCACAAGGAAAATGCACATTTGGGGGAGCTTCATCTCCCTACTGAAATAATGATAGTAGCAATAGACTAGATCAGCAAGACCAGTGGTGCAAGCTCCAAAGCTCCTGAATGACTAGACCCTGAACCAAAGCTGGAACCAGTCATCTAAGATAAGGTGTCCTTGAATTAGGAACCCTCACTGATCTTCCCCAAAAGACTTCCCACTTTATCTATCCTCCTTTATGCTGGAGCTTCAAGTTTCCTGATGCCTGTTTATAGGAGCTGACCAAGAAATAACAGAAAGCCAGGATACACAAGGAACTAATTCTTTAAGGCTTTTTTTCAAGCTTTCTCCGACATAGTCCTTTCCTACCAGCATGGGAGATCATCCCTTTTCTACTCCAGATTGGAAGAAAAGAAAGCCAGTGAAATTCCCGATCCAATACGATTTCCTTTTATACCTCCTAGTTCTCAAACATAGATGGAAAACTCTAAAACCGAGATGGGTAGCCTATAAATCCCAAATACTGCTGAATTATAATTTCCATCAATCTCAGCCAGTGGTGGGATTCAAATTTTTTTACTACCGGTTCTGTGGGCGTGGGATGGTGGGCGTGGCAGGGGAAGGATACTGTAAAATCTCCAGTCAGAGGTGGTATTTGCCGGTTCTCTGAACTACTCAAAATTTCCGCTATTGGTTCTCCAGAACTGGTCGGAACCTGCTGAATACCACCTCTGAACCTCACCCAGCATGGTGAGTGATGAAAGATGGAGGGGATGTTAATTCAATAAGATCTGGAGTACCAGAGATTCCTTCCCCAGATTGTGAAAATCTAGGCGCTTTTCTATGTTCCTCTTATTTCTTCTACCCTTTTCTGGTTCCTCTTATTTCTTCTACCCTTTTCTGGTTCCTCTTATTTCTTCTACCCTTTATCAGTTTTAAATGCCACAGCTAGTGTCCTTTCATCCCCACTTTCACAGAATCTGACCTGAGAAATGAGAAGCTGGCAGGAAGACAATTCCCGTCCTGTCACCTCCATCTTGCGGTGGCACTCAACTTGAAGACCTTCCAGCTGACGGCAACGCTTCACAACGGACTTCACTTCTGATTTGATCTTGCTGATGTAGAGCCGGGCAACAGTAAATTCTTCCTCAATGGCACCACTAATCTCTATTGGCTAGAAATTAATGATTTAAAAAGAGAACATATTATTTGAGGAATATACAGGTAGTACTCTACTGAAAAATGTGATTTTTCACAGTTATGATCTTTGTAGCATTCCCATGCTCACATAATTAAAATTAAGATACTTGGCAACTGGTTCAAGTTTATGATGGTTGAAGTGTCCCAGGGTAATGTGAACATCTTTTGCAACCTTCTGACAAGTCAAGTCAGTAGGGAAGCCAGATTCACTTAACAACCAGATTACTAACTTATCAACTGCAATGATTCACAACAGCTGTGGCAAAAAAGGACAATAAAATGGGGAGAACTCACTTAACAAATGTCAACAGAAATTTTGAACTCAATTGTGGTCATAGGTCGAGAATTGTCTGTAGTTCAATGTATGATTCTAAGAAGCAGAACTGTTTATACAGCCTTCCTTCTTTCCTTTGCTCATCATATGACACTGTTCCCAGATCACTAGATTCCACTATTTTCTAAGTAGTTTGTCTCACTTTCTTCAATTTTGTTTGTGGTAAGGTCAGCACTAAATACTTTAAATCAGGGATATCAAACTCGCGTTGTCACAGCATTGTCATGTGACGTATTGTGACTTTCCCCCACTACATTAAACTGGGCATGGGTGTGGCCAGCGTGTGATGTATTCGGCCTGCAGGCCCTGAGTTTGACACCCTTACCTTAAATGAACCCTTCTATTTCCATTTTTAATTGGACACAACATTTAAAAGGCCATGATTAAATAGAGCAAAGAAAAAAATAGGAATTTCCCCAGATCCATCTTATATGTTTCTAAACTGAGAGTGAATGACTACTTTTCTTCTTTCCAAACATTGACACCCCCCCCCTAATCAGCTGCTTACCAGTTTGATTTCACCGTTGCCCACAATGACACTGAATTCACTCAGATCCTTCATAAGTCCGTTGAGGACCTCAGCAATACGTTTGCGCTGGTGCCCACTGAATTCCTGTAGGCGTTGCAACTCTGATTCCAAAGACAGCATGGTGGCCTGCAAAGATAAAGACAACTATGGCTTATCCACCTCAAAGAGAATTCCTCTGGTTTAGAAATGTGGCACCCTCAATTTTAGTTAAAGGGAAAAAACCTTAATTTCCGTAATTAATTTAATTAATTCTTAAATTAATTATTTAATTTCTCAAGTGTCTTAATTTAAATGTAAACCCTCTGGTAGGAATTAGATTATAGAAAACAAATAAGAAGAAAAAGATGGTTTAAACTTGAACGTATGCAAGGGCTCTGAGTAAATATCTAATTGGAGATCCATTGCACGTCCATTCCCTTTGTTATGGGAATGGAAGTTCCACTAGTTAAACCAAAAACAAAGGCCATAGCTTTATTAGCCTGATCTATGAACACCTGGCACTGCAGTTCTGGAATCTTCTGGAGTTCTGGAATCACTGCAGTTCTGGAACCTTTCTCTAAGGAATCTCTCTATACCACTATTGGTATTCTTTAGTTACTCAATGGCTTTTTAAGAAACTTTACTAAATCCTTTTGAAGTTTTGATGAATGCATTGATTCTAGAAAGGCAACATTTGAACCTGCTAAATTTTAACTCGTGTTTTACAGTTCTGCAAGGAGATCTTGGCACTTACCACTTTCTGAGACAACTCATCCACCAATAGCTGATTCTGCTGACTCTTCTCTTCTACCTCCTGGGATTTCTGATCATAGTTGACAGCCAGTTCCTCCAGAGCTTGCAGTACTTCCTTTACCTCTTCCTTAGCAGAATCATTCTCAGACTGCAGATGGCTTAGTTCCTGCTGCACTTTTTCATTGTCCCCACGAGTGGACATTAGAAGCTTTTCAGAGGGAAAAGGCAGGGTGAGTTAGTGAGTAGTTTGAGAAATATCAGGGGAAATATAAAAAAGGAAGAAGAACAGGAAGGCCAAGTTTGGGTGATGTAAAAAGAGGTAGAAATATAGAGAGATACACAGTGCTAAAAAATAGACGGGCGTTACTGTTATATTAGTCTACTCTACCCAATTGCCTTCTGATAATATCTCCATTCATTCCAGTCAGGTGTAGCTTGCTTAAAATTATCACAGCTGTAATCTAATACAGCCTGAGGACACCTAACTGGGGAAGACTGGAATACAATTACAGTATTTAATTAAAGTGATGGGAAGACCAAGGACAAAATCCATAGCCAGCTACTAAGCTTATTAGTCAATGCTGGACACATCATTATCTCTCACAGGACTGTTGGGAGGGCAATGTGATGTGAAAGAATGATCTATGATATCATCTGTTCCTTTGAGGAAATTTCGGCTGGCTTAAACCAAATAACAAAGATGAAAAGTCAAGGTACATTTTTATGCATGCCTGTGCATAAAAGTACTCTTAGGAAATTGCTCACCTCCTCCTGGTCCAGCATCTGCTCTTTTAGTTTCTCCATCAGTTGGCTCTGCTGATTAATTTCATCATCCTGATTGGACAAAAAGATGTCACTGCTAACTACCTTATGCTGTGATCATGGTTTTAGACAGGTAAGGCTCAAAGAAAAGACATTGTGAACGAGATGGGGTTAAAAAGCAACCCAGGAGAAGTTTACATGGGACGGAGAAGAGATCTCTACCTTGTCATCAAGCTGCTTGTAGAGTTTGCGGATCTCCTCCTCATACTTATGCCGCTCTTCATCTGAGATCCGGATGACGATGGAGGAGTTGTTATCATTAATGGGTGTCTCATCACAAGTGTCAGGTACCACCTTTTCCTCATCACTCAATTGCTCTGTTTCTGGGACATTCTCACCTAAAAATGTTTAAATAGAAGACAAGGGACATTTTCACACACATATTTTACTGCTGTATTTATTATGATTCACAAGGTACCATAGTGCCTTTCAAGGACAGATCTGTGCAATGATTACATGAGAAATCACACGTTTTCACCATCTTAGAAATGTGAAGTCCATTCAGAGGAATCAGAATTAAGGAAACTAGATGCCTTTTTCCAGTGCTAGACAAACTGCAGTTCAAGGCCATTTTGGTCCAAATCTCTGAATGGAGAATGGATTATAGCATTAATTTTTAAATTTCTATTAAAGGAGTTTTACATCTGTTTCATCATAGGAATAAAGATCAAAAATTCAATGAAGAGAAATTACATTGCACAAGTTTTCAAGTTCACGCCTTAGCATCTCCATCTCCTGACAAAGCTGAATAGTCTGACTTGATATATGACAGTTATCTAGGTTTTTATGACTGTCCCTTGAAGTTCACCTCTCTAAGACCCTTGTCATATCTGCACTTATTATTTAGCTCCTAGGCAACCTGAGGCATCTTTATTACATCATAATACATGCAGCATATGTCTGGGATCACCTGTCCTTAAACTAGATGAAGCAATGTGACATTTCAGGACACTGATAACCATTTTCAATGTCTTTCTATTAGGCAAATGCAGTCTAGCCATAGTCCTTGCTTGCATCCTTTTTAAAAAAATTTCCACTCCAAACATTTATTGGCAGAATAAAAAATGAGGAAATGTGCAATTATCATTGCTTGGTTACAGGTACAAATAAAATTTACCCCCAAACCAGCCTTTTGTTCATATCTTATAATGTCAACATATGCTTGATATACAGAAAATACATCTTGATATACAGGAAATATATCTACTGCTAATCTCGCAATTTTGAAAGAGCAAACGGGAATGCGGTCCACAGCAAAGCAAAGAGGACCTTGGTTTTCTTTGCATCCAACTTACCATTGCGCCAACGTCCTAGCTCAGCCTCCAACTTGACAATTGTCTCCTTGAGGGTCTTGTTCTTCTCCTTCTCCTTCTCAAATTTCTTCTTCCATTGTTCTGCTGTCAATTCCAGATTCACCGATGCTGTATTCTTGATTGTCTTGGCTCTGAAATGGAAGAGAACAGCTTTATGGATAAGACTTTGCTTTGTTTAGTTGATGTTCTGCTTTGATTGATTGATCGATTGTGCCAACTTGTTTTCGACTCCTAGCAACTACATGGCTATGTTTTCTTCATGATAATATATCCATAATCGGATCTTTCAGGTTTTCCAACAATGCACTCATTGCCACCAGAATTGAGTCCAGTCACCTTGCTGCTTCTTTTTCCTTCCAAGTGTTATGGTTGGCCGGCAGCAGGTGTGGACGGCTGAGGAGAGTGAGGACTCAGATGAGGGGCCAGGATCATTAGGGAGTAGACTGCTGCCTTCAGAGATTGTGGAGGCTGGCAGCAGCGATGAGGAGGTTCCCGTGGAGCCTGTGCCAAGTGCATGTGTGTGCAGGGCTGCTCGAAGGAAAGAGCAGCTGCAGCAGCACGGGCAACTCGGCAGTAAGGCTGCGAGGTAATGGCCTCTCCTTCAAGAAGATAAAAGCCAGCTGTGAATCAGATGTTCTTTGTAGGAAGCAAAAACGTTTTGAAACTCCAGCCTCATGGACATTGCAGTATCTTCAGTTGGTATTTGAAGACTCTTGTGTTTTAAAATATTTCTTATCTGTTATTTTTGGCAGCCTCGCACAGTTTTGGTGAGGCTTGTGCTTATCAAAGATAATTAGTTTGCAGCAGCCTTTTAACCGGGGATTCGTAAGAATCATTAAAAGGTTTCTGTTCTCTTTGGTTTGTGTTTGTTTTATTGGAAAAGGGTTTGGGTCAGAACACCAAGACATCCCATCACACCCTATCCATTATACTGATCATCTTCCTAGTATTAACATAGATGGCTGAAACTCTAAAAATACAGGAAGCTCTTACTATACTACATTGCTCATTGACTAGCAGTAATAGGTTTTAAAGCTAGAGTTTACCTCAGCAGAAGATGCTTATGATCAAACCTTGGCTCTTTCCATGCAAGGCTTGTGCTCCACAGCTGAAGTCAGTCCTTTCCTCAGATGCCTCATCTCCGAAATAGCAGCAGAATAATTTTACCTGGCTATTCCTATAGCACAGTGGTGCGATTCAAAAACTTTTACTACCGGTTCTGTGGGCGTGGCCATGTGACTAGGTGGGCGTGGCTTTTTTTGCAGCCCCCACTTGTTTTGGGGAGCTTCCTAGCCACAGAGGAGCTTCGGGGGGGTGGGTTGCTCTCCTAAGGCTCCTCTGCGGCTCTGGAAGAAAAGGAACAGAGCAAGGGAGGGGCATGCAGCACCCCTCCAAGCTCCATTTTGGGAGCTTCCTAGCCTCAGAGAAGCCTCGGGGGGGGGGGGCATTTTTGCTCCCCTAAGGCTCCTCTGGGGCTCTGGAAGGCAAAAAATGGAGGGGGGGGCTGAGTTCCTCTCTCCATTTTTTGCCTTCCTGGGCCTCAGCAAGGGGAATCCCGACACAGCTGATCTTATCTACAGCTGATTGTCAGGAGGGGGAAAAAAAGAAAAAATACCTTAGGCAAATGTCAGGCAGGCGGGCAGGGTGAGCGAGCATCGGGCGGGAGGGTGACCAGGTGGGGGGGGCGTGGCCAGCCAGAACTTACTACCGGTTTGGCTACCCATGCCAAATTCTTGCTACCAGTTCGCCCGATCCGGTGCAAACTGGCTGAATACTGCCACTGTTATAGCAGCCTTTTCAAAATGCTATTCAAAATACGTATCCATTCAAAAAGCAATTCTGTCAGTATGCTTACCGCTGTCCAAACATGAGAGTAGATTTGGTCTCAGCATCATTATAGCTGGAAGGAGAGCAGCAGATAAACATTGTGGTGCGGCAGTTCCCACCTAGGGAGTCTTGTAGGATACGGGTCATCTTGCTATCTCGGTAGGGCACATAGCTTTTCTGCATAAGATAATGGGAGTGAACATATTTGGCCTTTTTCACACAAAATTGACCACAGAAATGCCAATCTATTCACAGTTCTTATCAATTAAAAAAAACAACAACCAATGGACAGGGACATCCAATAGACAGGGACAAGCAAACTCATCTAGAAATTTCATCTTTCAGATAGGAAGGGAAAACCTAAATCATCAGAAGCAAATAATTAATATTTAGCAGCATATTTTCTAGCGCAGTCAACATATTCCCAGCAGTTCTGACTGTATCAGATGCTTTTGCTACATCTTTCCCCAAATTGATGTTCTTCAAGCCTGTTGATCCATTATTCCCAGAAGTCCCAAGGTCATATCAGCTATGAATTTTGTGAGTTATTTTGGGGCTATAACTTGAGATATTAGGCCAACTCCCATACTCCCAAAACAGCTGGTAGATTATGTTTCCCCTTGGTTGTGTTAATTGGAAGGGTTGTTAGTTTTGTCTGTTGGTTGCTGCTTATGTTATTTATCGTTTTGTTTATTGCTTTCATTCCACCCGCTGTCATGTACTCGGGTTGGGTGGCCATATAAATGTAATAAATAAATAAAACTCTAGATATCCATATAGCATAAGGATGGGGAAAACTGGCCAGCAATCTTTTTGTTAAGGGATGCACGACTCACTGTGCCCTCAGCCAGAGCTGAGATAACATTCCCAAGTGCCGACAGAGATTTATTGATATTCTTGGCTTCATCCAACACAGCTCCCTCAGCTCCAGTCTTGCTGACCTGCCAGGAGAAGGCATTTGTTTATTATAGTGGAAATAAATCTCTGTGTTATATGGACTAAATCCTAAATGAGACTTTCTTCTCTGAATAAACATGCTTCCTAGGTATTGGGAGAAAACCAACGGACCCAACTAGAAGGCCCAGAAGAATTGGGACAGACATGGACACCAATGAAAAGTAATTGTCCCAAACATCTGAAAGGTATTTCAGTCCAAAAACAGCTCAAGCAAACTCCTTATCAATTCCTTTGGGTGGCAGACAGTTATGGCTGGCAAATCAGGGCCTAATCTCCCATTCAGTGATTTCCCAAAACACTATTCAGATTTGCCACCTAATTGCATTTAAGGCACATAGCTCTCTGGAGATCCCTAAGATACTGATTTGGAGACCCAACATTCAAATAATGGGTTTCCTGATGCTCAGGAGAGGAGAGTGCAACATTTTAACGAGCTTCAAGATATATATATTATGAAGGCATTGCTGAGATACAGTATGTGTATGATGCTCACATTGCACTTGTGTCAGAAGCATCAAGGCGCTTCTGGATTAAAAGTTTTAGCAGGTGGCATCATTGTTTTCCAGGGGACACCCAGTTTGGGGCTCCTTTCATGTTCCTGGCAGGAGCTGGAGCAAAGGCCGGGTGCTCGCCCCACCCCTTGCCAGGACTCAGGTTTCAAACACAAGCTTGCTAACCTCCAACCCAGCATCCTAACCACACAAGTCACCCTGCTCCTTATGTATGATGTGATCTTAGTTTATGAAATAAATAACTCTGCTTGCTTCCCCGCTCAGATCTCTTTTAAGCCACAAGCACCTTTTCACTGCCAGCCAAATCCACCAGGTAAAGCTTTCCACTCAGTTTTTGCTCAGTCTCCATGTTCTCCTGTTTAATGTTGATAAGGAAGATGCTGTGACTCCGAGAACTGTGCTCATTCATGTCTGCAAGGTTAAGAGAGAGAAAGAGACAAGCCTGTTTTATTTCTCCCCCCACCCCAAAAAAACATCCTGGGCAGAGATTTCCTGCACTGAAACTGTACAATATTCAGCCTAACTGAGGGCTCTTCAAGGTGTGGTGATTGGCAGTATTATTGAAAAAAGCTTAGCAAATGACTTTGTTTTCTGTTTTCTATAATCTTCATATATGCAAGTCTAAAAATAAACATTACAGAAACTTGTAAATTGTTTGATTTGAGATAATAAGCAATTATTATTTAAAGACAGTATCAAAATGCTTCTTCAATTGAATATACTAAGAATTATATTACTTTCAACTCTCTACAGGAAATCCACATTCCACATTCCCCACACCCCACACCCACAAGTCCTATGCAACACTTCGAGTTGCAGAAAAAAAACCCACAACAAAACAAAATAGGTGATAAAATAGTTGCGACTGTTTCCTAATTATAAATTGAGAACCAAAAAAAATTCCTTATGTACAGAAAATTAAATGATAAGCTGGTCTTTGATGCAGGATTTTTTTATATACAGTAACTGGATGATATGTATACTTTTTTCCCCTTCTTTCCTTCAATTGTGTTCAAATCTCACAGACTACCTGGACAAGTTCTTGAAATTTTCTTGGCACATTTTTTTCAAAATTGGTTTGCCATTGCCTCCTTCTTAGGGCTAAAAGAAAGCGACTGGCCCAAGGTCAACCAACTGGCTTCATGTCCAAAGCAGTCCTAACCTGATGGCTTAATTACTACACCAAACTGGTTCTCATTTGTATACTAGGCCATACTAAAAGAATATTATCTCCTTACCTTCAGTTTTTTATTAGTCTTAGCCTGTTATCAACTTAGATTTTATACTTTAAGCATGTTTGAGAGTAAGAGACAGCAATGTTCTTACTTTATCTCTTGGTGGCAATTAAAAATCTTGCTGGATGGTTACTGCTTTCTCTCGGCTTTAAATGGAGAGCTGAGATTTCCTGATAATCTCTAAGAACTAACTATCTCTAATCCTGCTCAGCTTTATCAAAATCGGCTGCTGTAACCTTTTAGGGATAGTTCATAGTCGTACTTTGTATTAGTGTATAAATATGTTAATAGGAGCTCATTCAGCCTCACACAGCCATTATTATATAGATCTGGATTATATAGGTGTCTTTGTCTGCCCCTTCCTGAAAGTTACATCTCCACTGCCTACACACCAGTGGTGGGATTCAAACATTTTTACTACCGGTTCTGTGGGTGTGGCTTGGTGGGCGTGGCTTGGTGGGCGTGGCAGGGGAGGGATGCTGCAAAATCCCATTCCCTCCCCACCCCACTAACCTGCTTTCCAACTCTGTTCTCTTGTGCAGGGCAACAAAAGAAGACCCAGACGATCAGCTGGGACTTGAAAGGCAGAGAAGAGATGGGGACGGGGCCAGTCAGAGGTGGTATTTGCTGGTTCTCCGAAGTACTCAAAATTTCCGCTACTGGTTCTCCAGAACTGGTCAGAACCTGCTGAATATCACCTCTGCTACACACATAGTCTATGTTCCGTCCTTCAGAGCATGGTTCTTACAATCTTAAGCGATATCACTCTGATTTTCCCCAAGTACAAGAACTTTTCTTACATTTTCTTCAGTCTGTGACCAACTGAACCAATGAAGGAGTTGCTCCAAAGCCTGTGGCACAGAACATGATTTTCCATTCTTTGAGCTAACCAAAACTGGCTGCTCAAGGATTTCCAATGTCTTGCCACCAATTCCCACCCCATCCTGGCATCTTCTGCCTGAAATCACTGCCTCAATCTGACATAAACAACCCCCTTGTTTTTGCTGCTTTTCTGGTTCTGCAAAAGCAAAGGAGGTACAAAATTCTCAGGGAAAAAAAAAAACACTTGAAAATGCCCTAGTGAACCAGACTTTATTCCTGTCTTGTGTATGGGCTCCCCAACTGCCTGCTCCATACACCATCATCCTTTCCCAATTGCCTGTCTTCAAAACTCACTGGTGACAGCCACATGGCGGTTGGATTTTCCTTCATCAATCACATCCAGGATTTCTTCAGGGCTGGAGACAAACCGTTCAGTGCAACCCTTAAGCAAAAAAAGAGAAAAAAAGAGAGAGTATTTTGTTCCTGGTCCCATCATTCCCTTCCGCTAATTGCCATGCTTTGTTCCTAGGTATCTCCCTCAGCCTTGCATCTCTATAACTTTTCGTGATTTGTCTCAAAGGTGGCAGCTGGACTTCTTTTTTTCCTTGAGGAAGACGTTTCGCTTCTTATCCAAGGAGCTTCTTCAGTTCTGACTAACTTTCTTGGATGAGAAGTGAAATATCTTCCTCAAGGAAAAAACAAAGTCCAGCTGCCTTTTGGAAAAGCACCCCTGAGATAACCATGATCTGGATGACTGAGAATTTCCATAGGCTTCATGTCCTAGGAAATTCTCTGTGACAGAAGTGGGTGATTTAGTGCCTTCTGTTTGTAAGGGGCTACAAACTCCCACAATTCCTTGCCATTGGCTTTGCTACTTGGGATTGATGTAAAAATGTATACATTTGGATAATATAATCACTTAAATCATCTGGAGATTGTCCATCTAAAAAAGTATATCTAAGAAGAGCAGAGAATCTATCACATACAATACTGTAGATCCTATTTTTACATAAGTCTCTCTATTACGTGGTGTTTTTTAAAATAGCAGAACTTCTTTTAAGATGCAATGCTTTCGTTTATTTTAGTACTACAGTACCTAAAGACAGACTTTTCAATCTTGCTCCTCTAGATATAAAATTTGATACTGAGATTGACCATTGCCCAGTATTGATTATTTTTTAGGAAATGTCTTAGTTCAATTTCCCAACCAACTCACCTTCACAAATGGCACACGGTTCTTATCCTCATGAACAGAGAGATTGGTCTTCGTCACTGTGAATGAAGAAGAAATGGGTCCAACAGAGCTCAATGAATCCAAGGAAATATGTTTTATTTAATTTACCAGCTATCCTCACAACTGCCAAAATTCTTCCCAAGCCATTGATTTGTTCTATCTCCTGGCTCGGTCTCCACCCCATTGATATTTCATATCCCTTGAAGTTTGCTCACCATCTAGCAGATCACGGATTTTGTCCAGGTAGATTTCGAAGTAAGAAACCTGAGAGGAGAAAGAATAAAGAAATAAAAAAAAATTGGGGAGAATGGAATTGCCTATGCTCTGGTCCTCAAGGACACATGCCTTTCAAGCAGCAAACAACTATCCGCTCTCAAGACATTCCAGACAGGTAACTTGAACCTTCCAGATGGGAACTCATAAGCTTTTAGCCTTTTTATAACAAATACAATGGAGCAACAGGACAAAAAAAGCAAGTTTCTATCAATCTACTGGGTTCCAAATATGGTGAATCACAGTTCCTCTCAGTCCTTAACTTGTAGATCTAGCATGTCTTTAGCAGGGCTGGCATTAAGAGAACCTGCCATTCGAAGACACAGGACCTCTGCCATCATCTGGTTGTTTTCCCTAGAGGGCATGAACTGCACAAGTTGGCGCAAGAAAGCAAGTGGTGGGACACCTGCCCAATGTTCTAAGAACCTTCTGGAGTTAAGGAATAGGACAGAATGCTTTAGGCAAATAAGTAACAAGCACTACCTATATCACTGGTCCCTCCTTGTACTGTTGTATGTCTCTGACCTTAATGTGGAACTCCAGGTTCTCATCCATGGAATAGATATGGTTGAAGATGTCCTGGGCAATGCGTGGGATGATGCCCATGAGCTGGGGATCATGCAGCTTGCCCTAGTGGAACAGAAAAGTTGACAGTAAGTTCAAAAAGCCCTCCCAAATTCTTCAGGTAAGCTTCATTCTTGAAACCTAGGACCTAACTGCAGATGCTACTATCAGACCAAAGTTTTCTAGTTAGAGACCAGGTTTTAAAATGTATATGTGAGAAACCTCCTCACCTCCATGGTGTGAGTCTTTCCAGAAGACGTCTGCCCATAGGCAAAGATGGTTCCATTGTATCCAGCCAGCACATCTGCAAAAAAAAAAAAGGGGGGGGGGAATGAAGGACAAAAATAAATAGCCATTTTTAATGGATCTTGTTTATTCTCTTTCTGCTGCCCCACCCAAGCAATCCTACTAAGCCCCTGATAGTCTCCCAATGCCCAGACTGACCTTTGACAATCTGCATGGCACAGGCATGATACACTTGTTCCTGTGTAGTGTTGGGTGGGAAGACCCGGTCAAAGACATAAGGCTTGCCCTGCAGAGGGACACAGATAGATATCATAGTAGATTAGAATACCCAAATGTTGACATGAATTTTCCAGCTGTATTCTTCCTGAAAAATGGTGCCCGGAGGTCTAGATGGGACAAAATAAAATCAGATTAATCCCCTCCATAATTGAACTGCTATATCTCAGTAGGCATTCAGAACACAGAACACTGGATCCAGTATTATTTCACCCGAAGTCTGATACATACTTGGAGGGGAGGGAGAGGGTGAGGGATCCCGAACTCACAGCTGTTACTTAAATCACAGGTAGAGGCCGTAATGGGTAGCTTTTGCTCCACTTCAGCTGATGATCCAGTTATGCTTCTATCTGGACCAAAGACGATGGTGTTATCCCTTGATAACTACTCATCTGGATTACTGTAATAAGACATCTAAAGATGCAGACTTTGGAAGTGACCCAGAAGCGGCAACTGATCGCTCCTGTCATAGTCAATACAGGTAGTCCTTGATTTACAACCACAAGCTCAAAATTTCTGTTGGTAAGTGAGAATTTGTTATGTGAGTTTTGCCCCCTTTTTGGCACAGTTGTTAAGTGAATCACTGCAGTTGTTAAGTTAGGAACGCGGTTGTTAAGTGAATCCGGCTTCTCCATTGACTTTGCTTGTCAGAAGGTTATAAAAGGGGATCACCTAATTCAAAGTGCCAACAATAACTCACAAAGCCCTATATGGCACAGTGTCAGATTACATTTCTCACAAGAGGAAAGCACAGAAAATGACTTATTACCAGAATGGATAAAAGAGTTCTTCAAAACCATGGAGAACTACATTTGTATCCCCAGCCTAAGGGCAAATGCCATTGTCACATCTTTGTGATTCTTACAACAAGAACTTAGAATGGTCTAAGATGGTTCATGGCCACATATTCTGGGAAGCCCAGCCAAGAGAGTACTTCTTTCAGGGAAATGTCCACTGGAAGATGATGTAGCAATTAGAACAGGGAGAAAATAAGGTTTTACTTTCCCCACGAATGAAGCCTTTCAGTTGAATACCTTGCTGAGCATGTGCTTTTCATGTCTTAAGATTTGTATTGATTGTATTTTTCTTTGTTTGTTCGATTTCTTTGGCTGCCCAACTCAATCAATGACTCTGGGTGGCTTACAGTTCCAAAAACATATTACTGTTTCTTCCCCAGTCTATCAAAAAGACTCTGTTTATACAATCCATTTAATCCAGTCAGCCACCAACCTGATGAAAAGTAGTTACTGGCTATTCTAACTATAATAATTAGGTCCAATGTTGCTATGTTATGTAACAGAAAATCCCTAACCACTTTCTCCTGGAAGTGCCTGGTGTTCCATGAATTATTGCACTAGGAATGTATACAAGGCAAAGCTTAATGCCCTACTGGTGGCTGGGCAGACAGTAATAGACTTTGTTTAGGAGCTGCAGCCAATCAGGTCATGCAATGAATTCTGAAAGCAGAGACACTTTTTTCAAAAACTCTATGTCTCCAACTCTATTTTTTGACAGACATCTGGGAGGGCTTTATACACTGCCCCAAATCTTTGTTCAGCTATGGTGTACCCAAAGCACTGCTGACTGAGTATTTGTAATTCAAAACAAGCCTGTTTTAAAATTAAACCACTCTTACCCCATTATTAACCAAGTTATGGTGTTCTCACAATACATTTACCCCACTATTAGGGTTCTGTTTTTGGCAAGACTAATATTTGGGCCAGATCACATGATATATACAGTATACAGGAGAAAATGAGTTCCAGGATAGACTGTGAATAAGGCGCTGTTCAAATGCTGATTTGTCTAAATGTAGGTTAGGTGGCTTTTTAAAACCACTTTGCTGCATCTCTACCAATTACAACAACTATCAAAAAGCAACAATTAAGACAACAGGCATAAGATTGCTCCTGAAATTAGGCACATTGCGGTATAATCCCTGCTGTCATGCCCGTCGGAATCTGATTCAGAGGGGGAGGCCGAGCAGCTGGTAGGGAGTGGGAGTATGGCTGGATTGGCTGTGGAAGAAACTGGGGAAGGGCACAGTCCAGCTGGGCAGAGCAGGAGAGAAGTAGAGCAAGGGAGAGGGAATTCAGAGGAAGACCCAGGCCCACCCCCTCTTCATTCTAGGACACACAGGAACAGAGAAGGAGCAACGTGAGTTGCATGGTTTATGTGGGAGGAAACAGCCCTGATTCCCTTCATTAGCTGCAGCTGGGAACAATGTTTAAAAAGGAAAGCTGTGCACAGCAACTTGTTGGAAGCAAATCATGAGTTATCTGTTATTGTCGAGGCTTATCTGGGTTCCTGGAATCTTCCCAACTGTGTGTGTTTTGTTGGCCTTTCAAATCTGCAATTCCTTCTCCTGCCCTGTCAAGTTAATTGCTGCAGCGTGGTTTGTGTGGATTTTTATTTACAGTTTGTATGTACTTCGTTTTCGGACTGAATTTCCTCCACTTAAAAACTGTTCTTGGGAGAGTTTTTTCTCCAGCCAAAGGTAACCTGGACATTGGGGGCAAAGTTGGAGGTATTAAAGGGATTCTTCTTACTTATGTGACTGTGTTGCCTTTTTGCCATGCCCTGGGTCATCACACATAAGGAATCTTAAACAAGTAAGGTAGCACTCACGTAGCACACTTTACTTGTAACTGAGTCACACAGTATAGTGAAGGATAAAGTAGCCAAACAGGCTGGCTTTACGCAACAGACTAACCACTTATACAAAAGCTAAACAAGATTAAACCCAAACAATTTAGCATGCTACGCAAATACATCTGCTTATTTTTTTCTGACTTCTGTGTTATGTGAATGCTGCTGAAGGTAATTCAGACCCATTCAAGCTACCGACTTGAGACAGTATAATATATACCATGGGAATGTTCGTGCACAATTTCTCAAAAATATGAGTGCCTGACCCGAAAGTCAATTAGACAGTTAGAAAATGATGAGGAAGCTGAACAGCACTGAAAAATATATTTAGTGGTTCAGGTTCAGCTTATTGGACTGGTTTATAGGGCCCAGGGGCACACAAGCAGCTACTTATTTTATGTCCAGGCAGATGTTTTTCCATCTGCAAATGTTATAGGGCCCACGTTTATCATCTGAAAGGCATGTCCAGGACACAAAGCATGTTTTAGCCTGTCATTACTCAACCCATTGTAAGCTGAATAGCAGTGGCCTCTACATATTTTGCATAATAGCGTATGCAGTTAATCTGCACCTGCTTTCTAATTTTACCACATTTATTACATTTGCAAATAGTGAATTACGTCCTACTGCTCTGTTTCTGAGGGAGGCACTCCTTAAATAAAATCTGAGGTTGGGGAGCGGGACGTTAGATGAACAGAACATGACCCTCTTGTAACATTTCTTCTAATATGGCATCCTATCATCTTGCAATAGTCCAAGATTGCAGCCTGAAAAATCAAGGCAATCACTAACATAAAGCAGGGATGCCCAATCTTTTAGGCAGTGGGCATATTTGTAATATTGAAAATCTGTCATGGGCATATTCATATTCATGTGAATGCCACAATAGGCATGGCCAATCACAATTCATTTGCCATATGTATGCACTTCTCCTAACCTTTCCCTCTGATCTCTCAGGATATTCCATACCATCTAAGTTCAATCTTTTAAACAATCTGATGCACAAGGAACCCTGCAAGGTCAGATGCAGGGCTGTCAAACTCCCGAGCCAGATGCGCCATGTACTGGCCACGCCCATGCCCAGTTTAGCGAAGAGGAAAAAAGTCCTAATATGTCACGTGACAATGTGAGTTTGACACCCTTGGTCTAATGGAAGTTTGCTGAGGAGACACTGGCATTCCAGGTACCATGCTGGACAGCTACATGGACAGAAACCAGAGGCAAACTCAGGTTAAAATCACCCTAAATCTCACTACCTAGATTTTTTTAAAATCTGCATTACACTACTTTCTAAAATTTTTCAGATTCTAAAGATTCTCAACCTAATGCAATTAATTGTGCACAACATGCATTTGAATGGGGTGCAGTATACCTTATCCACACAGGAATGTGACCTATTGTGGTCCGCCAGCTGCTAGCAGAGCAGATTTGGTGGACTTGGACGATAAGGAGGTTTGGAGAAGAACTTGGGCCAGTTCTGGAGCCTGGGGAAGGCTCTGATGGATACTCAGCATCAGACACAGAGATGGAGCCAGCATCTGTCTGGCATCTCCCAGCCACCGGAGAGGCAGCTGCCTTTGGAGTCAGAGATGAGTGAGGAGGAAGAACAGCTGGGGCCTGTTCCAGATGCACATATGTGCAGAGCAGATAGGAGAAGTGAACAAGGACAAGGGAGTCGACTCGAGAAGCAAATCAAACATGGATGCTGAATGGCCCCTCCCTGGCTGAGGAATAAATAGAAGTAAAAAGGGAGTGGTGGTCATAGGAGATAATAGTTTACATTTCTGGAGATTTTGCTCATTGTGTTTCTGGCAAAGACTGCCTTGCCAGAACATAATTTGCAGCCTTTCAGGAACTGAAAAGGGCTATTGCTGCAGTTAACTCTTGCCTGGACTTTCGGTTGGTGAATGCAATTAGTTCACAAGATGTAAATAAAGAGGCATTTTTCTTTGCGAGGAGTCTGTTTCTTGCTTTGGCAAAAGCTGGGTCAGAACACCTGTGCTTTCTGCTATTAACTGCTTAGTGTTGACTGCTTTTGAAAATGGCTGTAGGCTGCACTACTGTTTTTAAGGAGAGCTTCTAGATTAATAGATTCCTTCATTTCCCATTGATGTTTAGAATAACCAAATTATATTTTGTTATTTATTCTAATTACAATAAGTTCTATAAAATTACAACACATTTTTGTAACAAAATAATTGCAAGTTCTGATGCTTGGTACAATTTATAGCACCAGTCAGCACCAACTGTTTTAGAGCCTTAAAGATATATTGGTCCTCATGTCTGAAAATTATGGTTAATTCCTCCAAATTGGAAAATACCAATTTGGGGAAAGATTGCATTAGGTCTTCTTTTTCATAT